TGACCCCTTTAAGTCACATAGAGACAGATTAAAACACTATTTAATGATAATAATGGCCTGTAACACACACATCGCAGAGATTGCAAATCAACACAAGTTGTAATGTTGACCCCTTTAAGTCACATAGAGACAGATTAAAACACTTTTTAATGATAATAATGGCCTGTAACACACACATCGCAGATATTGCAAATCATCGCAAGTTGTAATGTTGACCCCTTTAAGTCATATAGAGACAGATTAAAACACTTTTTAATGATAATAATGGCCTGTAACACACACATCGCAGAGATTGCAAATCAACACAAGTTGTAATGTTGACCCCTTTAAGTCATATACAGGAATATATCATAAAATAAAACCCGGGGTGCTTGATTTGTTTGTTTTTGGATGTTCAAGCAAAGATATTGTACTAGCCATCCCTAAATTTGGACTGATCAGCTAGAGGGGAGGAGGCTAGTCAACAGCACTCACGGCGTGCCTTTTGCTTATAGCGGTAACGAAACTCGAACGTTGGACCCATAGTAATTCGAACTCATGAGAACCTATTGACCTTCTGGGCAACATCAATTCTCTGTCTTCTCTCTCTCTCTCTATATATATATATATATATATATGTGTGTGTGTGTGTGTGTGTGTGTGTGTAGTAAATGATTTAATTTTTGAAAACTTTTTTTAGCCGCAACTCATAGAACGGCTTTGAGGTTTGTTTTTGGTGTTTCTTTCTTCTTTTTTTTTTTTTCTAAATACAAACTTTTAGATCATAGCTCCGTCATCTCTTGACCTATTGAGATCTAATTACAGTTTTGGACTCAAGAGGTCAAACCCTTTGGATTGATGTGTTTGACTACACCCAAGGTCTCATAGAATAATTTACTCTGATCTTGCTCAAAAGAATTTCAATTTGAGAGTAGGCTGGTAGAGATCCTGATGATAATAAAATCGAATCGGGCATCGCGCACCCCACGCTTGGTATTGGTGCGCACAAAATTATAGCTAATAAAAGGGGAAAAAAAAAGGAATGTAGATTAATTTACTCTTAATCCTGCCTAAAAGAATTTCTAGTTCTACGGCTATTGAGGATTCCCCCCGTTTTTGTTTTCCATTATACATTGAGAATTGAGTTTTTAAGAACTCTGCTTCTTATACTTCCCTGTCCAAGTGTTTCAAGCGTCAGAACCTTTCGGATATGGGTTGGTGTACACGTATTAGGAAATGTTTACCACTAGTGAACAGGGGAGTTCTTTTAGCTCGTGTAACCCGTGACCCTGTGAAACCCACAAGGATTACTAAATGGCAGACGGTCAGAATTTTATGTTCAGCATGTAACAAGAACCAGTATTCTACCAAGGCCAAAGTGAGCTATTTTTAGTCAGGATAAATATTTAGAGGAATCTTTGGGGGTAGAAATAGATATAGTTCGTTAATAGTAGTGGACTCGAATATGTTGCTGTTAACCAAATTGCACAGAATTGTTTTATTAAAATATGTAATGAAAAAATGATTTAAAATCAAAACGTAATTTGAGAAGTTATGTTGATGAAGTTTTTGATTGTACAGCTTACATAAGCAAATATTAAATAAAAATATTTAAATAATTCAGACATTTAGAATTAACAAAGACATTTACTTTACTGATACCCACAGTTTTCTTAGAATACCCTAAATGAACCGTCACATTTCCGTCTTACTGTGATGGATGATAGAAGTTACGTACAATGTACATAAAGACTTAGTTAGAAGGATTGTTTGTTTCAGATATTCGCGCAAAGCTACTACAGAAAGGGCTATCCACTCGCGCTATCCCTAATTTTGAGCTAATAGACTAGAGGAAGGCAGTTACTTAACAGCACCCACCGCCAACTCTTAGGCTATTCTAATAAAGTCGTGGAATTTCTCCTTCACTCTTATAACGTACTCACGGCCTCAAAGTAAAGGGCGCGATTTTGCAGCAATGAGACGCGAACCACGGACCGTCTGATTCACAAGCTCGACCAGAGATAACAGAGTTATCAGTTGTGACAGTAATATTAACATTTTCTAGAGACGTGCTGAGTAATATTCGATGAGTGATCGTTGGTCGACATGACAGAGGACTGTTAACAACTGTAGCAGAACATATGTTAGGAAAACTCCACCAATTATAAGCTTGTTATATTTTTTGGATGTTTAGAAAACTAGTTATGAAATATCATTATCCAAAGTACAACCGCAAAGGCGCTGCTGTTTCGGCAAAAAAAAAAGTTCCACCTGATTTATTAAGTACTGCTTACTTATTTCAAAATTTTGGGTGTTTATTATTATTGGCAACGTACACATGTTTTTATCTTACTCCTCATTCTAGCAGATCAGTTATTTCGTATGAATTCATAATTTGTAATAATAATAATAATAAAAAATCTGAAAGTGTTGTTATTGTTATAACCTCTATATTTATGTTGAAATGGAGATGCTAGTTAGAGGTCCCCTCACGTAAAGTTAAGTTAGCCCTAAAATATTCGGGAATATTAATAAACTAGAGGCTTTGCGAAATATCAAGGACAAGGATTGAATATAAGTATGGATGAGCCAGTCAGTTGGTTAATTAAACTTGCAGTTTATCCGGTAGTGTGAATCAGTCAGTTTATATTACATTATATTTATGTGTGTGTGGACATGTGTTAGTTATCGCACATACTGAGTTACTTTGTGTGAGAGTTTTTTATATGGGCTAGGATTCTTCTACAAAAGGTGTCTGTGAGTTGTTGGCGATAATTTTGAACAATAATTGGACAGCACACAATACACTTGTTTTAAAGTAATATATTCAAAACAAGTGAAACGTATAATGGCTGGAGACGGCTTGAATGGGTAATGAAGAAAAACTTTAATACAAGTTTAACATAACAGCAAATGTACAACGTTTCGACAAGGTTTTGTCATCATCAGGTACATTCATTCATTACCCATTCAAGCCGTCTCCAGCCATTATTAGTCAAAGTGGGTTCCTCGTCATAGAAAGTGAAACGTGTGTACATATATTCTTTACACTATAGGGTATCGCAGTTTTATCTAAAACTCTAAATATTTCTCTTTTCTTGTCCAAAGTTCACACAGGCTGATTCAATTACTTTAGAATCTAATTGACAGACAAATTACTTTTCTTTACTCTTATTACAATAGTATCGGTGAATAATTCAGTTACATTACTCCGTGGGTTACCACAGTTGTATGTAGAACTTTAAATAATTGTCTCCTTTTCGTCAAAGTCCACACAGATGGTTTCAATTAATTTAGAACACCTTTTGACAAAACAAATTATTCTCCTTACCTCTGTTAAACTGTGAAACTCACTTTAAAATATCGCCTGTTCCGGCTAAACTAACAATCTCACAGTCTAGCTTAACTTTTCTGTAC